TAAAAAGAAAAGGAAAAATACTAGAAGAAAAATCTAGAAAACTAGAAAAACACTAAAATCTAGAAAAATACTTCTAATTTGACTTTGGATCCCTAACTAGCCATAATACATGTAACAGTTCGTTCTGATTTTTTGTATGGTATGAAAATTCAACTATTAACTCTAGTCCAGTACCGTACTCCTTCGGCGCGGCAGTTAGCGCCTGCGGTTACGGTATGGGCGAGAGTTTCCGGTCGAAGTCTGGGACAGTGTTTGGATCAAATGGGTGATTCTTTGACTAGTTTCAAGGCTCCGGGCAGACCTCACGCGATTTCAGCCGCCTCGCGATCTGGCAAACTCCAGTTGTCTATAACTCATCCTTACATTCTGAATAAGCAGAAGATGGGGCGCTTTATCTTTTTGCGTAAGTCGTATAAAATGTGGATTTGTAGTGTGCGTGTGGATCTAAAGATATTCGGCAGATTTCCACATCGCGTGGCGACTGAAATCGCGTGAGGTATGCCCGGGTATGAGTATGGTTGCTTCAGCTAGTTTTCACAATGGAGTCCGGGTAAGATCAGCCTAGACATTATCTTCATGGGAAAATGTCGTTGTGGCACTGCCATTCTTTTGGTGACTACCATAGTTGTTTAACGAAACGAAACGAAATCTATCCAGTCCTAATCCCTTTCGATGAACTCTGATTTGTCAAGCACTAAACAAACATCATCATTCTAGATACATCGAGGTTATGCCTGCAGATCAAGACAGCTCCAGTGGCGGTGGTGGTGGTCGTGGAGGCGGTCGCGACCGTGACAGGTAATTAATACATCTGAATTGTTTCATTGAAGTCCTAATCTTCACAATATTTGATCCTTCTTCAGAAGCAGCTTCCGCGATCGTCGTGATCGCGACTTCGACTATGGACGTCCTTCTCGAATGAACATGATGATGCCCGCTCCATATGGCGAAGGAGTTGTTCGACTGCGTGGACTTCCTTACGGCGCACGCGAAAGGGATATCTACGATTTCTTCGCACCGCTCGCTATCGTACCGGTTCGTTGGTGACGGTTTCTCTAGGCTTTTTGGCTTTGTGGAAGCTTTGTGGTCGGCATTTTCTCAGTTTTGTCTGTTTCAGGAAGGAATTCTTCTTCCCGATGATCGCACAGCAGCTAAGACCAATGGTGAAGCCTATGTGGTTTTTGTTGACCAGGAGACA